TAAATTTAAATTTTGGGATGTAGGCAGAGGATAATGTCAATCAATGCAGCACAATCTGTCACAACACATCTGTTATAGAAGGCCACCACAGTTTCCACATAAACTTGGCCATAGTCAGCGTACTAACTATGTCTTGCAAAGGAGCTGGAAAGCAAAACTGCACCAGGAAAGAATTATTTGTACTGTATCTATGTTCCTTTATACAATAGAGTTTCACAGACACACACACATGAACATATTTTATTTTCCAGAAATATTGTTAAATCTGTCAATTTTTCTGGATAAAAAGCTTCTGTTAATTTAGATTTGCAAACTAAAAGGTAATTTTTTTAAAAAAAATCTTAATTAGGAAAAAAAGATATGCACAAGTAGATTAATTTGATTTGAGGCAAGCTGCACACCAAATTTGCACGGCATTCACATTGGGGCTCAATTCACAGCCCAAAATATTCCTCTGAGCAAGCTAGATGCTGGCAAAATCAGATTTTGATAGGGATTACACAGAATCACCTTCTGTTCATCTTTGCTTTACCTTGGCCCATGTTTGTCACAATTTTCTTCCCTTATTTTACAATGATTGTGATGGTTGAGCAATTTCAATCATAGAGGCCTTCGAAAGGGAGAGCCAAAACAAATTTTAAGCAATCTCCCTTCAACTTACGGGAGAGACACCGAAGTTGGCCATATGTGTGTTAAGATGCCAAAGTGCTTCTCAGCAGCCAAGTGCCAAAAATCAGCCATTTTTTTTTTCTTCCTCCAAGTTGGAACTGGAAAAGGGAAGGGAATTCTCTCCAATAGCAGCACTTCATTTTCTCATCATGGAGGATGATCCCATCCATTTTATTCTTTCTCTGTTTCCAAGTTTATGCCTAACATTGCTCAAAAGGGCAGGAGAAAGGTAAGGATTTTAGAGTTAAGAATCAAAGGACAGTCAAAAATTTGGGTAAACTTGTCTAAATGTCATCTCTCCATTACACTAGAACATCAAGATTTGAGAGGGAGCCCCCCTGAGGGTCCTCCCCTTCTCTTCAGTCACAAGTTTCTACTGCCACCTTTCCCCATATCACAGGTCTCAAAGTGAACATTTGGCAGAATAACAATGCCAGGGTTTCTGTTTGTTTACATTTCTATCTTAGAAATTGGTGGAGTTTATTTTATTTGTTAAATATATTTGCTGCCTATCTCACCGTGGGGCTACTCTGGGCAGCTTACAATAGTAGAACAGAAAAATGATAAAAAAATGTAAACATAACAATGAAACAATAAACAATGATAGTAAAATAGTATGAATTAGAAGATGGGAGGAGGAGGAAGAGGAAGTACAGAGGGGAGGTGGAGGCAGCAGTTGCCACCTCCAGTCCGATATTCCACTGTTGAGACCTCAGGCCAACCGGCAGAGCCAGGTCTTCAGGCCTTTGGGAAGGATACAGGGGTGGGGACAGACCTCACCCTGGGGGACAAGATGTTCCAGAGAGTTAGAAGACTCTTCTCCTGAATCCCACCAGTCAGAATTCCTTGACTGACAGAATCCACAGCAGGCCTCCTCTGCTGGCATGAATAGGGCGGGCCTCTCTTAGAGGGATGAAACACTTCATCAAATAACCCGGACCCATGCCATGGGGGATTTTAAAGTTCCACACACTGTAAAAGCTAATAAATTTATTATTTGTCAATCCATGGAAGCTTTATACCATAATACATTCATTCCTGTCAGGTGCAAAAAGACTATTGTTTTTACTGCAATAAAGAAGCTTTCACGCTAGAATTATTGTAAATAATTCCCTAATTTATTCCCATTGTGGCACAGCAGAATGCATCCATTACCAGTTGATTAGGGATATGCAAATTGTTCCATGCGCTAAATTGCTATTTTGGGAAGATATGAGTTACGCTTAAAAAGAGCATATTGAGGTCAAAATTTCAACCTATACTGGGTTTTGAACTAATTATTTCAAATGCAGCAGATTCAAGTTGCGAACCAGACCTAGAAGAAATACGAAAACAAGTCAAATGGTCTCCTTGCATCAACATATTTTTCAGACTGTATACAGGTAGTCCACAACTTACAACCATTCATTTAGTGACTGTTCAAAGTTACGACGGCACTGAAAAATATGACTTACAAATAGTCCTTGCACTTAGCAACTGTCAGTTTCTTCACGATTACATGAACAATATTTGGGCATTCGGCAACTGATATGTATTTATGATCGTGGCAGATTTCTGGGGTTCCATGTTCATTCTTTGTGACTCCTCAGGTGTCTTCCATCAAGAAAGACAATGGGAGAAGCAGGATTTGCCTAACTGCTTGAATCATTTAACAACTACTGTGATTTGCTTATCAATCATGTCAAGAAAGGTTATAAAATTGGGAGCAATTCAGTTAACAACTGTCTTGCTTAACAACAGAAATTCTAGTCTCAATTGTGGTTGTAAGCTGAAGACTACCTGTAGTAGTTCCGATGAGGTTTAAAAGCCTTTACAAAAAAGGCATGGAAATGTTTTACAAGAGAATTTAGGTTTATGTGCTGCACACCAGATGGACATACAACAGAACTGCCACCCCAATATTCTATCTCCCCAATGTAACGGAACTTCAACCGCAGAATTCCCAACATGCCTTTTCTTCCCAAATTGCTGAAATCCCTCTTCCTTCACTTTCAAAATATGCAAATAAGCAATGGAACTGGAGTATCAGAGCATTTCATTTCTACTTTACCATACTAAGAAAAAAGTCCTAAAGAAAAGAAAAATAAAGTTAATTTCCTGTCACACCCCAGTTGCATAGCTGTTGGAGAATATGGAAGAAGAAATCATCAGAATTGTTTTGTAACAGCTCAGACTGCAATGCAGGAGATACAAATGTAATTAAATTTCTTTATAGAATTAGTAACCCTTTTAAAAAACATAGTAATCTGGAATATATTCCAAAAACCTCATAAGGACTAACAAACATAAGACCTATGTAGTTTGGTAATGAATTTCCTATAGAACAACTTCTACCTACGTCAAGTTACCACTTAAATTGGATTCAAAAACAAATATATAATGCAATTCACAAATGCTTCAAATATCTGATATATGACTCTGTTTACAAACATAATGGCCCATACTTTGCAAATATGATGGTTGAAGATGCTTCTGAGATTTGATATTCCACATTTAAAAAAATCACTATCATCAGTATCAAAGTTACTAAAATTCTATATGGTCAAAATACATAACTCCATATCATGCTCCTCAGAATTCTAAATTTTATCCATGTACCATGTTGATGATTTTCATACTAATTTGCAGATCCTCCTACCTGCAAAACTGGAGGCTACGGCAGTTTATTTATTTATTTATTTTAGAATTTATATTCTGCCTTTAGCCCAACATTCAAGATGGCCTGTAGCAATTACGTATAATAACATAACAAAATTAAGACAACTGAAGGTCCTTTCTTGCATATCCAATAGTTGACCTCCTAAACAGGTTTGTTTGAACTTACATGCTGCTTCAGTTCTGTAAACTCTGAACAGCTTATAATATTACTAGGAGTAAAAATAAAAATTAATTACTACAATTATCATCAATTAATTCAAGATACTGCAATTCAGAGATGACATTATCTTGCTTGTCCCCAAAACCTTTCTAAAGAACCATATTTTTTCACAGCTCTTAGAAAATGTAATATATCTGGAGGTGAGATACAGTATTCCAAGGAAAGAGAGCCATTACCAAGGTGGTTGAAGAGATAGTCAACCCCTCTGTATGTAGGGCTTAAAAATGCTATTTGCACCTTGAATTAGGGTTGCTGAATCTGATCTAGTGGCACAATTATCTACAAATTAAATTATAACTGGGATTCAAGCAGAATTTCCAAATTGTGAACCAGTCTTTCTGTATGTCTATGGAGATTCTCAGTCATCCAGGTCATGGTTGTCCCAAAGGTGCTTTTTCACGAGGCAACTGGTCTTTCTTGTTTTTCTTTGAAGATGTTTCGCTTCTTATCCAAGAAGATTCTTCAGCTCTGAATTCCATTTCTCATAATCCAGTCAGAGCTGAAGAAGCTTCTTGGATGAGAAGCAAAATGTCTTCAAAGAAAAACAAAAAAGTCCAGTTGCCTCGTGAAAAAGCACCTTTGGGACACTTTTTCTGCATTTAATAGCATCCTGCTTCAAATAGGTTCTCCCAAAGGTTTCATATCAATGTTATCAGAATAAGTAACTATACTAAAATTCAGTGACCTAGGGATTAAACAATAGTTCCTTAGCAATAGCTTCTGGAAATAAACTAATAGTAAGGTTGGAAGAGTCCATTCATGGACCAAACAGTTTTTGACAGATACTAACCACTCTCCAATCTTCCCTTTTCAGAGAAGGTTACTGAGAAAGGAAGTATTGTTCTGCAGTTGACAAGAACTCTGGAGGAAATAGATTATATAGAGTCATTTGAGTTTGGTTTCAGGCCAGGGTTTAGTACAGGATTTTGTCAGTGATTTTGTGGCAGAGTTGAGATGGTTGGGATGCATCCAATATGACACTTAACTTCAAAATTTTCAGAAAATTTTCATGCTTGTTGATAATTATGGAAGTAGATCCAGTTAGATGGTAAACTGGTGGTATAAGGTTGTACTAGCCTAATGTGATGAGGGTGGTCTTGAAGGGCAGAGGGAAAATCCATTAGCAAGGCAATGATGAGATAAACAAGATATAAGCCAAGGAAGTTTATAAAAATGCTTTGGACAGCCTCAACCCTTAATTCTCATGGAAATAAAAGACAGAGGAAGGGGAGCAGAGTAAGACTTGCAAGACAGATGTCAACCCAATAAGGCAAACCAGACATAAGAAACAGACACCACGCAGACATAAAACTTCATTTAGAACATGGAACACTTACAGTAACAAATTCTTGGTTTACAAAGCACAAAAACTTGGTTTATAAGGTACAAAACATGCTAAATCAAAGATGAACAAGCCACAGAATGAGTTACGTTAATATCTGAGCTTACTCACCTGCAATCCTTAAGTTTGCCTGGATGTCAAACTAAAACATTTCCAAATTATCTTATTTCATCCAAGATTTCTGAAAAATAAAATATCACCATCTGATTATTACAAAGGTATCAATCAGTCTCATTTTACCTGATTTTATTGATATCAATCAGTCTCCAGTTTCTCCTTTTGGAAGAAGGATCTGAGGAAACAATAACTTGCAGTTGCAAAGGTCCCTAAAGAAATTATCAGGTTTCAAGCTAGCTTACAGTAGCAGGATAAAATTGTTCATTATAATGGGCACAGGATGGGGATTTGTCCATTCTACCAGATCTCACTGAGTTGGCATGCTCCATATCCCTTCTGTGAAACAATGCCAGCTAGGGGTCCCCAACCCCCGGTCTGTGGACTGGTACTGGGCTGTGGCATGCCAGCAACCGGTCTACACAAACAAGCAAAGCCCCATCAGTGGAATGCAGGCAGCACACAAACCCAGACATTCTCTGGTCCGCGGAAAAACTTTTCTCCACGGAACCGGTCTAGTTCAGAGGTCCCCAAAAAGTTGGGGACCTCTGAACTAGAAGGATTCAGGAAATGAGATGTCTCTATTGTGGTGTTTGCCCCTAGAACAGCATCTATCCTGAAATCTGGATGGCTCTTATCCTATTAACTTTCTGTAAAGATCTCTTTTAAACTTAGACATCAGGGCTAGAATGTTAATGGAATGAAGACATGTATGAGATTTTGACTGAGAGCTAGTTTTTTAGAGGTCACAAGGTTGAGATGAATGGCTACATAAATTCAAGAAAGAAAGTAATGTACTTAACATGTTATACACACATAAAAATAAATTATGGCTTAATATGATGGTCTTATTTACCCAACTTGCTAAGACAATGGCTGACTTCATACAATACTCTGAACTGGAAACTAGTCAACACCCATTTATGTTAGTTGGAAGTGTTTTGCGAACCAGCCATTGAAAGTTATCCAAAACCAATTCAACATACAGAATAGTCTCCAAGAAATAAGTTTACTTTTCCACTATCTGCACAACACAGCTTGTATTTGATTGTAACTGGGTCTTGCTAAAAGATCCTCAAGCCAGTCTTTTCCTCAAGTTTTCAAAAGGAACTGAGAATGACTATAGGAATGGTCCTCTGTCCCTGTAGCATAGGCAAGACAATGGTGTGAAAATAAGTGCAGTTGATTCAGCTTACAATCAATTATCTGTGATTTAATATCTTAAACACTAGATTCTGATATGGTTCACACATTGTGCTAAATTAAGCATTATTTCATAATGGTTTCTTTAATCATAATTGAATAGGTTGATTTATAAAACATACCAAGCCATTAATCAGGGTTTGAAATCACAATGACTTCACCAAGGATGCTAAACAAAGTCAAGCAAACAACTTTGTGGTTTGGTGCAATGTATGATTCGTGTCAGGATTATCAACTCCTGGCTGATGGCAGCGTGTAATCCTGCCAAACATCCTGATCATCACCCAAAGTGCTCCCAGCAGTGATGCATTCTCCATTTTTAATTCCATTTTTATGAGAGCTGTGCTTTTGTATGTGTGGGGGGAGGGTGTTAAAGGTAAAATAAATACCATATGGCCTTCAACTAAAAGGGATACACTTAGTGGCATCATGACCTCATCTCCTCCTTACACTTGGTGTAAGCTAAGTGCAACTTGTGGCTGCAAAAATGTTTCCAATCTTCAATTTGCCTAAATAACCTTTTATGTTGTGTCAAGGATGCATATGTTCATCCAGCTGTGTGCTGTTTGTTCTGCTTGTTCGTTTTTTTGAAGGAAAAGTGCTCTGTGCATGTTCAGAGCCTGTCTTCTTTAGAGAAAACCAAAACTACATCCCTATCACTTGTCTGCACATTCCAGGCTGAAATAGGTTCAACAGCTTAGTCTTGGTGAGAATCCAAATTCAAATTAAGGCCCCAAAGGGAAAAAAAAAAAACTCTCTGCAGGAGATAAACTAGTTCCTTTTCCAGTCATTTAAATAACCCTCTTAACATGCAACTGCCTGGCTTGCTCCCAATTCCCACCATTCCTGCACCCAACATGGATTTTTCCTGCTGACTCAGGATATTTGCAGCTGCAAAACAAACCATGGCCAAAGTCCACAGATGAAAGGGAGCCAAGATGCACCTGGAGGCAAAGGGGTGGCTGAAGGAGAGTGTTGTGGGCAGTAGGGAAGCCCTTGTTTGATATGGTAGTGTGGCATAAAGGCAGAAATGTGGATGTGTGGATATGAGTGTATGCTGCAAGAGAGACTTGGAGCCAACAACTGAAAGAATCCATGTGGCTATAATAAACCTTGGAGATTTTAAAAAACTGCACAAGGGAAATGCAACTGAGATTTATTGGCAGGGATAAGATAAAGCAAACTTTTGAAATAATTTCCTTCACAAATTCAATCTGGCTTTCTTTGGGTTGCAAAGAATCAGTTTAATTTTTAAAAACTATAGGGAGCAGGCAAGATTATAGCCTTAAGATTGCAGATTTTGAAGAGTGTTGCTAAATGCTTGGTAATATTGCTAAACCAAAAGTAAGTGTTTAATGGGACATTCAGAGCTCAGGAGATAAATCTTCCCACAACTAATCATTTTGTAATTTTATCAGGATACAAGCCCAATCTTTCCTTTGGCCCTACACTGATATATCCTCAAATTATTTTAATGAAAAAGACTTAAGTTGTTACTAAGGTCTAAGTCATCCTTTCCCCCTATCATTCCTGTGGAAATTCTCAAGAGTATTTTTTTTTATCAAGCCTTTGAAGTTGTTTTTATGTTGGCACCATATTTTCTGTACAGTATTTATTACTGTTGATGCTTATTGATGGGATGGACAATATGTTGTAAGGTTTTATTTTTATGATTGATGTCTTAAAATTATGATAATCTAGAAATTTTATTAAACAAATACATTTAAGTAGCATCAAAATATTTTGTATAATATAACTTAAAATTCATAGATAATACAGATAGTCCTTGGCTTATGACCATAATTTGGCCCAAACTTTCTGTGGTTAAATGAGAAATTTGTAAAGTATTTTTTGCCCTACTTTATGACCTTTATTGCCACTGTTGTTAAGTGAATCACTGCATTTGTTAAGTTAGTAACACAGTTGTTAAGTGATTCTGGCTTCCTCATTGACTTTGCTTTGATGCAACCATCAAAAATATGAGTCAGTTGCCAAGCATCTGAAATTTGATCACGTGATCATGGGGATGGTGCAATGGTCATAAGTGTGAAAAATTGTTGTGTCACTTTTTTCAGTGCCATTGTAACTTCAAACAGTCATTAAATGAACTGTTGTAACTCGAGGACTACCTGTATTGGCATTAATCTCTAAGTGTAAATGCCCACTGCTATAATAAGGAGGATACAGCCTTGATAAGTTTTTTTGGACCTTATATACTATAGTATATGTTTATAATTAAAATGTCTTAAAAAAAGAAAGAAAGATAGAAACAAATACAAACTAGCATTTAAGTAAGGAAAAAAAGAAAGTTATCACAGAGAAAGTTAAATGTGCAAGAAAGAAAAAAAGGAAAAGGAAAATAGAAAAAGAAAAAAGATACAAAGAAGTGATTGAAGAAGCTTCTTGGATGAGAAACAATAAAAAAAGAAGTAGCTTCCTTCTTTATCAGGCCTTCTTTGCAGAAGTTATAAGTACAATTACAAATTTATCTCTTACTCAATAGATAGAAAATAACTTTATTTATTCTACATTATATACTGTCCAATCTTTAGAACTATAAACCAGAAGTTCAAGTACTTCCATTGTGGATAAAGCTGAATCTTTCCATTTTTGTTTCTACAATAATCTCACTACAGTTATCATATTCAAAAGCAAAGTTCCAAGATTTTTTTTCCAATTATTTGTCCAATCCCCAAAAACCCCCTCTTTTCTCAATTGTAAATTAATCTTTAAAATCTTCTGAATCAATGTAAGTATTTAAATTCAGAGTTATTTCACTTTTTATATGTCACCAAATACAATAAAATGTCCCTTTTTGTTGTTCACATTTTGAGCATAAATGTTAGGTGCCTTTATGCATTTCTCCTATGAAATACACAAATGGTACATCATTTTATAAAAAGTCTACATAAATAATGTAAATTTCAATTGTTTCAAAATTTTATCATATGTTTTTTTGTCATACATTCAATGGCTTCTCTTCTTCTGTTTCAAATTTCAATAAAAGTAATGTTCATTATTTTTACACAATTCCATTTCAAACTTAATCTTACAACCATAAATTATTTTGTCTACTTTAAATCTATCTAGTAGCTATAAATAAGAGAACCATTGACAACTATATCCCTCTGCCACCAGTTCATTTATTAATTTTATATTATATTCCTCTTCACAAAATTTTAGTATCTTCTGATAAGTTAGCCATTTGGGTTTGCCTATTACTTCCTGTCTATAAAATGCTACTTGTGCTGAGATCCACAAAGGTGTTTTCAAATACAATCTGGATTTGTATCTATTTCATATTCTCAATATGGCACATCTAACATAATGATTTGTAAAATCCATATTAATCTTGCCCTTATTGTATCACATATATCCATTCCACCTAAATCTCAGGTCATATCTTTCCAACTCCACAATCATTTTATTTCTCAACAACAATCACTCTTTCATTCAAACCATACAGCAAGCTGCAAAAAAAAAAACACTTTCAAATCAAGTAGACCCAATTTTCCTCTTGTCTTTGCCTCTTGTAACACCATATATGCCACTCTTTAAAAGGTGCATCAGTTGTCAATATAGGCATTTCCTGAAACGAACACTTCACTCTGGTGAGATATTCATTTTATTACAGAAATTCTTCCCAGCAGTGACAGTTATAATTTTTCCTATATTAATATAGTTTTTAATTTTTTCTACATATTAACAGTTACTTTTAAACAGTATACAATTTATGTATGTCATAGTGCAGTGATGGCAAACCTTTTAGAGACCGAGTGCCCAAAAACTGGCCCCGCCCCTACTCCACCCTCTGCCCCGCCCCACCTACCCGCAGGGCCATTCACTGCCTCCAGGGCCCACGCA